CTAAGTGTGTGGGAGTTGTTTATTGTGTTTTTGTGCTTATTTTCGTGTGTTTTATGTGCTTTAGTTTAGTACTTTTAGGTTTGTTTTAGTGTCGACCGGTCCATTTTATCGTGTTTCGTGCATTTTTGCTCTTGTTTTGTGTTTTTGTGGTTTGACGTATTTTTCTTGTCTTTTTGGTGTTGCTTAGGTCTACAATATTCGAGTTTGGGATTATGAGCCATTTCTGAGACATTTTCGAGCCGTCTGAATCATGTCCGAGCCACGCGAACCATTTTCGAGCATATTTATTAATTGCGCGGTGACATCTATTTATGCATCTCAAGACGAGGAGAAAAAATTTGAGGAGCGTAGGGCGAAATTTCATGTAAATTGGATAAGTGTGCGAGGAATTAGAGCGAACCGAACCTCAAAGGGGTCACCGGGACCATTTCCAGCACTCGAGTCGCGCCTGCCCGCGAGCATTCCTTCCGTGCGCGCGGGTTGTCCCTAAGCCGCGAGTGTTGCCCAACCAACCCGCTCCAGTGCCCGCGAGTTCACGATTCCACGCCCGCGAAACCCTGTGTTGCCTGCGAGTGCCGTCCCCAACGCGCCCTGCGTGTGCGAACCCTTGGGCGACGTCGCGAGTGTCATGCCCAGCATGCGTCCGCGCCCTGCGCCCTTCGCCGCGATCTCGCGAGTCCCTTCCAGCGCCTTCAATGCCTTGCACACTCTCGACCTCGCAGAAATTTTAGAGACCTCGAGAGTGTTATACTAAATGTGTGTGTTTTTAGTGTGTGTTTGTGGTATAGCTATATATAGACATTGTGCTTTGTATTTTTGGGCATCTCCCCTCATTTCCCAAGTTTTAAGTTGGGAAATCCTCTCCATTTTCTCTTTTTTTTTCTTTTTATGCTTTGGTTTGGAGGTCCATGACTCGATTTTTCCGGCGAAGTTCCGGCAAACTTATTTTTATCCAAGTTCTGAGCTTTATTTATTATTTTCGTCTGGACACGCGATAGGAGAGTAAGTACCTTGCTTAGGACTTACTACTTCGAGTTTGTTTTCGAATTTTGTGTTTATGCTCGTTTCTAGGTTTTTTATTTATTTTTATTGCTTGCTTACGTGTGTTAGGAATCTATCCGTGCTTATCTAGTACGAAGGTCTCGACTTTGTTCAAAGCGTGATGATTTAGTGTAGAAAGCTCGTGCTAGATTATCTAGGATCACTATGCTCGCATGTTTTCTCTTGTTTTCCTTTATTTTCTCGAGTTATGGAGATTCCGTGCAACCAATGTTTTGATCTTTCTTTCGATTCTTGCATTGTTCATCATTTGCTCTTAGATTATTAGCTTAATTTCGTGCAATCATCCCCAATCAAGCGAGTAGAATGTTTAGGATCTTATTTTTGGTTATGTGACTTTGACGACTAGGTAGTGAACGAAGTTCCGAACAGCCTTCTTTTGAGAACGATCCGAGTCGGGTAGCTCGGTTATCACATGTCCAAAAATACTACAAACAGGTGTACATGCTATTAACTCTCTTTCTATATACATCATACAATTCATAAAAATGATACACATATTGAGAACCACAATTCACAACAATTCACAAATAAAATGGGAATTTCAAGGCTAGAGGAGGAGAAAATCATTTTTTTTTTTTTTTCACAAGCCTTTCATACACTTGTGAGTTTATTATTATCATTTCATGTTATATGTACGTGTTACTTGGATTACTTTGTTTCTATTTATTTCATATTTTTTTACGATAAAAAAATATCATTTTACATTATATTTATGCTACATGAAGTTGATTTAATTGTTTTTCTAATTTATATATGTAATATGAGTGTCGATTGAGGATTGTCGAACAAAATTAATTTGATTAATTTAATATAAAATGATAATAGATAGAAATGTAATTGTTTTTTAATTAAGAATATTTAAATTCAAATATAAGGAAATAAAAAAAAGGAAAAGATGTACGTATTAATTAATGAAGACAAAATTTAGATAATTTTTTTTTTTGGCACATTTGATTGTTCAGTAATTATTGATATCTCATCTATATATAATTTCAAAATGCGCTAAGCTTACGTGGTAAATTCTCATACTTCGAAATTCTATTTGGCAAAAAATCATGCTTTGAAGTCAGACTTGGATATAAATTAATATTTGTATTAATTGTATTTTAATATCATTTCCTATTATAATCAATGAAATGCAAATATATTTTAAAAGTTGATAACTTTTGTATTTCTTATCGGTTTTACATACATAATATATCAAATTAATCGTCTTTTGATGAGTTTCGATTCAACATCCATATTGTATATATAAAATAAATAAATTATATTTATTTTTATAATAATAATAAAATTATTTATCAATTAATTAGCAAATAAAATTATTTATCATTTAATATATTTTATGTTTAATGTAGTTATATGTTATAAGGTAGAAAATTTTATTATAATATAACACATACAAGTCGCACAAGTAACATGTGTCATATTAAAATATATAATATATACTCCCTCCTATTTTTATTATTTGTCACTTTTGACTTAATTGATCATTGATTAAATAAATGTCGTCTTAGATATTTTGTTCATATTTTTTTCATTTTTAACCCTCCATTTAATACACAATGTCTATTCATATTCCATCTTCATTGTTTCTCATAACATCTATTAAATAGGGTTAATATTGTCAAGAAAAAAAATTCTAATTAGTTTATATATATAAAATACAAAACAATAATATATATCCTTAAATAAAATTTAAATTTATTTATCAAATTGAATTAAATTATATCAAATAAAACTATAAATTTCTCCTTTCTGTACCTACTTGAGCCGGATGAAAGGAAACTTTCACGTCCGATTTTGAAGGGGGGGAGTGTTCCAAAGCGAGAAAGGAAGAAAGTCCGGAGAGATTTTGTTCTTTTACCGTTGGTGTGGTCACCGATAGTCCTTTACGAACTCGAACTAAGCTTTGAGCACAGCACGGTACTCTTTCTACCACTATGTTAATATAGAGATGGTTTAAAAAATATTATAAAGTAATAGAAATTGGTATGTATTCTTTTAAAAATGATATTATTTTAAATCTAATTGGTAGTTGTCAATGTAACAAAAGTCTAAAATTACATATAAAATTAAAAATTGTGAAACACGACTGATACGACACTCGATGTAATAGACATCTAATTAAGTAAAAAATTAATCTATTTTGCTTAATATTAAATAAATATATTCTACACTTGTGCATATACATATCACCATATTATTTCTATTTATTTAATATATATATTGTACTTATGTAATAGTAAATAATATCTATATTTTTATATAATATAAATAAAAAAATCCAACACGGGTTGACATTTTCATTTAATGTACGGGTGTTTAATTATTATAGTTAAAAAATATAAGTTGACAATTTAATTAAAAACTAAAGTAATGTTTTATATAAAATTAAATTATTTTAATTTTTAAAAAAATACCAAAACTTTCTAATTCAACACCCGTGTAATACACAGGTATCTATATATATATATATAATAAGAATTAACATTTACCATAAATAGTAGTAAGGAAAAGTCAACCACATTTATTATATACTTTCAGCAACTTTTACATTTTACATTTTAATTTTAATTCATTATCAAAAAATTGGATGGTTCCTAAATTAATGAGTTTTAAATGTACGTATCATGTTTCAAAAATTATAAATCATTTAAAATCAGAGGGTTCCTAAATTAATGGTTACAAACTTTTCAAAGTTGTAATCTTTATGACATCTTTTCTTTTTGTCTTTCAATAATAAAATTACTTTAAATATATATATATATATATATTTTAATCCAAAAATTCAATCATATTAAATATATATATATATATATATTGAACGCAAAAAATATTTTTTAAATTGCATACTCAATCAATTAATCTTAATTTTTTTTTAAAAAAAATTACTATGTTTATTTTTTATTAATATGCATAAAATAAAAATAAATAGTTCATCTTTAGATATATAATTTATAATCTTAATATACTATCATTTGGTGTAGACATATGAATCATAAAATATTTTTATTTCAAAAAATTAAATATTAAAGAAAATAAGGAAATTACTTTGGATCAATCGGGTGATTGAATTAGGGTACTGTCCACTTTGATTGAATTACTTTTAGGTGATATTTAAAATAGTAAAAAAACTTGACACAACTTGGTTGGTCCGAGGTAACTAAGTTATGTATCAGTTTGACCAGACCAAATTGATTATTGAACCTAAATATAATATTGAAAATACTTTATTACGTGAATGTGATGTAGTCCAAACTTCAAATAATCATATTAACAGTACTTTTATGACAACATGATTAATGATTTATGAATATTTATATATATATCATTTTATTATTATTTATGTGAACAAAATATTTATTTCATTATCATTTTTATTAATGTACGGTAAATATAAGATTTTCAGAATCGGACCGTCTTGTGGTTGTTCAGATTTTAATACATAATACTTTAATATATATAGTACTTTTTGTAATAAATTTAAATAAAAAGTGTTACTTAAATATCTAAACAATTGATAAATTCAAATGTTTAAACTAATTGATAAACAATTTATATATCTCTATTTTATTTAAAATAATTTTTCATGTAACAAAATTTGTTTAGAAAATCGTATCGATCTTACCAGTCCAACATACTGGTGTTGGCGGATTCGATAGTAAATATTTTATTCAAGCGCACTAAATCGGTTATAAACCGATTCTCGATCCATCCGGTCGGACTGTGTCCAACCCGGTTTAATTTATAAATAATGGATAAATCATGATTAACGTTATTTATTTATTTAATTTATAATACAATCAAAATATTATTTTCCCGTGCATCGCACGGGCCACGTACTAGTTG